AAAAAACAAGGAGAAAACAAGAAGAAAAGACAGCAACAAAAGAAGAAAGAGACAATGGAGGAGAGTCACATGATCTTAAATCTGACAGGAAAACAAAAGGAAGGGACATAAAACTCCTTTAGGAAGAAGGGAGTAGGGGAAGAGAGGAAGTAAGGGGGATCCTAGGGTGTTTTTCCACCAGTAGGGGGAGCCATGTCCTGTCCTACGGGATGTGCGGGTTATTATGTGATGAAAACCAGAACTCTACGGTCCACAGCTGTTGTTAGCGTGTTTCTAACAAAATGACTTGAAAAAAAATCAATAAAAAAATGAACTCGGATGGCAAAATCAAACAACACAGTGAGTTTCTGAGTGGGGGTGAGGAAAGGTGCAGAGAGGGGAGGAGAGGGTGAGGAAGGGTGGTGAGGTCTTACCCATCTTGGGTGTCAGACTGAGGTCTGTGTCTGAGGAGGAGGACTGGCGACTGCATGGCTTGGATGGAGAGAAGGGAGGAGGAGAGGAGGAGGAAGGGAGGGTTCTGAGAGGCGTGGGTGGGACGGAGAGGGGGTGGGGGGGGTCCTCACTGAACACGGGCCTGCCAGGAGAACACACACACACACACATCAGTCAGTGTGTGTGTTTGTGTTTGTGGAAAGATGCTTTGCTGATAGGTGTATGTGAAGTGTGTGGAGTACAAATGACTTGGCCGCGGAACAGAAAGCCAAGCACATGAAGCGTAAGCACAGTGTTTCCCTTATATTAATTTAGCAACAGCGGGTCGCCGCTGCTAAAGCATTGCCGCCACTCCCCCAAAAAATAAAACGGATTTTAATTAAAAGATATATATACAGTGGGGAGAACAAGTATTTGATACACTGCCGATATTGCAGGTTTTCCTACTTACAAAGCATGTAGAGGTCTGTAATCCAGAAAATCACATTGTATGATTTTAAAGTAATTAATTTGCATTTTATTGCATGACATAAGTATTTGATACATCAGAAAAGCAGAACTTTATATTTGGTACAGAAACCTTTGTTTGCAATTACAGAGATCATACGTTTCCTGTAGGTCTTGACCAGGTTTGCACACACTGCAGCAGGGATTTTGGCCCACTCCTCCATACAGACCTTCTCCAGATCCTTCAGGTTTCGGGGCTGTCGCTGGGCAATACAGACTTTCAGCTCCCTCCAAAGATTTTCTATTGGATTCAGGTCTGGAGACTGGCTAGGCCACTCCAGGACCTTGAGATGCTTCTTACGGAGCCACTCCTTAGTTGCCCTGGCTGTGTGTTTCGGGTCGTTGTCATGCTGGAAGACCCAGCCACGACCCATCTTCAATGCTCTTACTGAGGGAAGGTGGTTGTTGGCCAAGATCTCGCGATACATGGCCCCATCCATCCTCCCCTCAATACGGTGCAGTCGTCCTGTCCCCTTCGCAGAAAAGCATCCCCAAAGAATGATGTTTCCACCTCCATGCTTCACGGTTGGGATGGTGTTCTTGGGGTTGTACTCATCCTTCTTCCTCCTCCAAACACGGCGAGTGGCGTTTAGACCAAAAAGCTCTATTTTTGTCTCATCAGACTACATGACCTTCTCCCATTCCTCCTCTGGATCATCCAGATGGTCATTGGCAAACTTCAGACGGGCCTGGACATGCGCTGGCTTGAGCAGGGGGACCTTGCGTGCGCTGCAGGATTTTAATCCATGACGGCGTAGTGTGTTACTAATGGTTTTCTTTGAGACTGTGGTCCCAGCTCTCTTCAGGTCATTGACCAGGTCCTGCCGTGTAGTTCTGGGCTGATCCCTCACCTTCCTCATGATCATTGATGCCCCACGAGGTGAGATCTTGCATGGAGCCCCAGACTGAGGGTGATTGACCGTCATCTTGAACGTCCTCCATTTTATAATAATTGCGCCAACAGTTGTTGCCTTCTCACCAAGCTGCTTGCCTATTGTCCTGTAGCCCATCCCAGCCTTGTGCAGGTCTACAATTTTATCCCTGATGTCCTTACACAGCTCTCTGGTCTTGGCCATTGTGGAGAGGTTGGAGTCTGTTTGATTGAGTGTATGGACAGGTGTCTTTTATACAGGTAATGAGTTCAAACAGGTGCAGTTAATACAGGTAATGAGTGGAGAACAGGAGGGCTTCTTAAAGAAAAACTAACAGGTCTGTGAGAGCCGGAATTCTTACTGGTTGGTAGGTGATCAAATACTTATGTCATGCAATAAAATGCAAATTAATTACTTAAAAATCATACAATATGATTTTCTGGATTTTAGTTTTAGATTCGTCTCTCACAGTTGAAGTGTACCTATGATAAAAATTACAGACCTCTAAATGCTTTGTAAGTAGGAAAACCTGCAAAATCGGCAGTGTATCAAATACTTGTTCTCCCCACTGTATATATTTTACATTTAAGTCATTTAGCAGACGCTCTTATCCAGAGCGACTTACAGGAGCAATTAGGGTTAAGTGCCTTGCTCAAGGGCACATCGACAGATATTTCACCTAGTCGGCTCGGGGATTAGAACCAGCGACCTTTCGGTTACTGGCACAACGCTCTTAACCACTAAGCTACCTGCCGCCACACATATGTTTTTTTAATGTAATATTTTAAATACATAAAATATATACACTACCGGTCAAAAGATTTAGAATACCTACTCATTTAAGGGTTTTTCTTTATTTTTACTACACTGCTCAAAAAAATAAAGGAAACACTAAAATAACACATCCTAGATCTGAATGAATGAAATAATCTTATTAAATACTTTTTTCTTTACATACAACAAATCACACAAAAATGTATCAATGGAAATCAAATGTATCAACCCATGGAGGTCTGGATTTGGAGTCACCCTCAAAATTAAAGTGGAAAACCACACTACAGGCTGATCCAACTTTGATGTAATGTCCTTAAAACAAGTCAAAATGAGGCTCAGTAGTGTGTGTGGCCTCCACGTGCCTGTATGACCTCCCTTTGGTGGATGGAGCGAGACATGATGTCCCAGATGTGCTCAATTGGATTCAGGTCTGGGGAACGGGCGGGCCAGTCCATAGCATCAATGCCTTCCTCCTCCTGGATGAGCTGCACTACCTGAGCCACTTGTGTGGGTTGTAGACTCCGTCTCATGCTACCACTAGAGTGAAAGCACCACCAGCATTCAAAAGTGACCAAAACATCAGCCAGGAAGCATAGGAACTGAGAAATGGTCTGTGGTCACCACCTGCAAAACCAGTCCTTTATTGGGGGTGTCTTGCTAATTGCCTATAATTTCCACCTGTTGTCTATTCCATTTGCACAACAGCATGTGACATTTGTCAATCAGTGTTGCTTCCTAAGTGGACAGTTTGATTTCACAGAAGTGTGATTGACTTGGAGTTACATTGTGTTGTTTAAGTGTTCCCTTTATTTTTTTGAGCAGTGTATTTTCTACATCGTAGAATAAGACATCAAAACTATGAAATAACACATATGGAATCACATAGTAACAAAAAAGGCATTAAACAAATCATAATCTATTTTATATTTTTCAAATTGCCACCCTTTTGCCTTGATAACAGCTTTGCACACTCTTGGTATTCTCGCAACCAGCTTCATGAGGTAGTCACCTGATATACATTCCAATTAACAGGTGTGGCCTTGTCAAAAGTTAATTTGTGGAATTTCTTACCTTAATACGGTTGGACGTACTGACAAATTCTCTAAAACAAACATTAAATTATCTGGCAACAGCTCTGAGGAACATTCCTGCAGTGAGCATGCCATTACACGCTCCCTCAAAACTTGAGACATCTGTGGCATTGTGTTGTGTGACAAAACTGCACATTTTAGAGTGGCCTCCTGTGTAATGAGCATGCTGTTTAATCAGCTTCTTGATATGCCACACCTGTCAGATGGACGGATTATCTTGGCAAAGGAGAATTGCTCATTAACAGGGATGTAAACAAATTTGTGCACAAAATGAGAGAAAAACTTTGTGCGTATGGTACATTTCTGCTATCATTTATTTCAGCCCATGAAACATGGGACCAACACTTTACATGTTGCGTTTATATTTTTATTCAGTTTATCTTTGAGAACTAACAATCACCTAAAAAAAAAATCCAAAAATGTCATGGCATGGCATGGCCCCCATTGATTTAGTTATAATGTTTAAGTCACTCAGATAGCATAAGAACACGGCATAAGCCATGGCAAAATGTGTACAATTGCAGGAAATTTGCTTTAAAACAGAATTTTTTTCAAACATCCCAATGGCAAATTGTAGAATTGCAGGAAACTAACTAAAAAAAAGTAATAATAATATTTAAATGCTTTAAAACAGCGACAGTTGTTCTCTGCGGCCAAGAGGAGGGCCTCTAAAATCTTTGGTCGGAGACTGCACCACTGGCCACGCCCACTACCACGCCTTCGCCACGCCCACCACTTAAGCACCATTTTGATCCAGAAAAAACCTTGCCACTGCTGCTGAAAAAAATCCTAGGGGAAACACTGGTAAACATAAACACACAAACACAGCTACTGTATATCCAACTGAGGAAGAAAGCATGGAAACAACACAAAATGGGCCATACCAACACAACACCAAAGGAATGAGCAGTTTCTTGAAATGTAATTTCAATTAACTTCCAGAATAGACTGAACTGAAATGGAATTGAGCCCAACAGGCTCCTGAGTGACTGCCCCTTTGAGACAAACAACGTTGATTATACTAAACTGGACTAAGATGGGTGCTGAGGAAAGGTGGAAGGGATGGATCTGCCTGGCTGGGTATCATATGTCCAACAGTGGGCATGGCTCTGCTGAGGGGGCTCTATGATTGGCTGAGGGGTACACAGGAAGAGGAAGCGTTTGGGGCTGCGGATATCACCATCTTCTCATCTAATTGCAAGGAAGAAGGGGCTCTCCGGGCGACTTTTTTTTTAGGGAGAGGGTGGTAATTCTCTCTCGATTCTCTGTCCCATGCTCTTTTTCTCTGGCTTTCCCTTTCCACCCCCCCTTTACCTCGGTCTCCTTATCCCTCTTTAATAATCCCTCCCTCCCTCTCTATGTACCAGTGAAGGCCCATGTAGGAACACAGAAGTTCTGGGACAATATTTATCTTCCTGCCTCCCCTTCTCTCCCTCCCTCCTTCACACTCTCCCTCTTTTTTTCTGTCCGTACCAGTGAAGACCAGAGTAGGGACAGAGACAGAGAAGTTCTGGGAGTGGGACAGTCTCTGAGAGCTGCAGGTTGAGTGGACAGGGCTGTTGTGGGTGGAGCGACATCCGTGGGCCAGGGGAGACCTGAACCATTCACCACGCAGAGACAGAGAGTAGACGAATCCAAACGCACACAGCAAGAGAAGAGCCAATCCGTGTGCAGCAAAGGCAGAGAAGAAGAGAAACACAACACACCACAACATTGCAGCAAAGAAAAATAGAGCACAACAAAAGACAAGACAAAATACAGTGGGGAAAAAAAGTATTTAGTCAGCCACCAATTGTGCAAGTTCTCCCACTTAAAAAGATGAGTGAGGCCTGTAATTTTCATCATAGGTACACGTCAACTATGACAGACAAATAGAGAATTTTTTTCTCCAGAAAATCACATTGTAGGATTTTTAATGAATTTATTTGCAAATTATGGTGGAAAATAAGTATTTGGTCACCTACAAACAAGCAAGATTTCTGGCTCTCACAGACCTGTAACTTCTTCTTTAAGAGGCTCCTCTGTCCTCCACTCGTTACCTGTATTAATGGCACCTGTTTGAACTTGTTATCAGTATAAAAGACACCTGTCCACAACCTCAAACAGTCACACTCCAAACTCCACTATGGCCAAGACCAAAGAGCTGTCAAAGGACACCAGAAACAAAGTTGTAGACCTGCACCAGGCTGGGAAGACTGAATCTGCAATAGGTAAGCAGCTTGGTTTGAAGAAATCAACTGTGGGAGCAATTATTAGGAAATGGAAGACATACAAGACCACTGATAATCTCCCTCGATCTGGGGCTCCACGCAAGATCTCACCCCGTGGGGTCAAAATGATCACAAGAACGGTGAGCAAAAATCCCAGAACCACACGGGGATTTTTGGTCCTCTGTAGCTCAGCTGGTAGAGCACGGCGCTTGTAACGCCAAGGTAGTGGGTTCGATCCCCGGGACCACCCATACACAAAAATGTATGCACTCATGACTGTAAGTCGCTTTGGATAAAAGCGTCTGCTAAATGGCATATTAATTAATATTAATTAATTAATTAATTAATTAATTAATAGTGAATGACCTGCAGAGAGCTGGGACCAAAGTAACAAAGCCTACCATCAGTAACACACTACGCTGCCAGGGACTCAAATCCTGCAGTGCCAGATGTGTCCCCCTGCTTAAGCCAGTATATGTCCAGGCCCGTCTGAAGTTTGCTAGAGTGCATTTGGATGATCCAGAAGAGGATTGGGAGAATGTCATATGGTCAGATGAAAACAAAATAGAACTTTTTGGTAAAAACTCAACTCGTCGTGTTTGGAGGACAAAGAATGCTGAGTTGCATCCAAAGAACACCATACCTACTGTGAAGCATGGGGGTGGAAACATCATGCTTTGGGGCTGTTTTTCTGCAAAGGGACCAGGACGACTGATCCGTGTAAAGGAAAGAATGAATGGGGCCATGTATCGTGAGCTTTTTAGTGAAAACCTCCTTCCATCAGCAAGGGCATTGAAGATGAAACGTGGCTGGGTCTTTCAGCATGACAATGATCCCAAACACACCGCCCGGGCAACGAAGGAGTGGCTTCGTAAGAAGCATTTCAAGGTCCTGGAGTGGCCTAGCCAGTCTCCAGATCTCAACCCCATAGAAAATCTTTGGAGGGAGTTGAAAGTCTGTTGCCCAGCGACAGCCCCAAAACATCACTGCTCTAGAGGAGATCTGCATGGAGGAATGGGCCAAAATACCAGCAACAGTGTGTGAAAACCTTGTTAAGACTTACAGAAAACGTTTGACCTGTGTCATTGCCAACAAAGGGTATATAACAAAGTATTGAGAAACTTTTGTTATTGACCAAATACTTATTTTACACCATAATTTGCAAATAAATTCATAAAAAATTCTACAATGTGATTTTCTGGATTTTTTTCCCCTCATTTTGTCTGTCATAGTTCACGTGTACCTATGATGAAAATTACAGGCCTCTCATCTTTTTAAGTGGGAGAACTTGCACAATTGGTGGCTGACTAAATACTTTTTTTCCCCACTGTAAGTGGTTCTCTACCCCCTCCTTTTGCATTTTAACATCCACCTACAGTGAGGGAAAAAAGTATTTGATCCCCTGCTGATTTTGTACGTTTGCCCACTGACAAAGACATGATCAGTCTATAATTTTAATGGTAGGTTTATTTGAACAGTGAGAGACAGAATAACAACAAAAAAATCCAGAAAAACGCATGTCATAAATGTTATGTTATAAATTGATTTGCATTTTAATGAGGGAAATAAGTATTTGACCACCTCTCAATCAGAAAGAATTCTGGCTCCCAGGTGTCTTTTATACAAGTAACGAGCTGAGATTAGGAGCACACTCTTAAAGGGAGTGCTCCTAATCTCATCTTGTTACCTGTATAAAAGACACCTGTCCACAGAAGCAATCAATCAATCAGATTCCAAACTCTCCAACATGGCCAAGACCAAAGAGCTCTCCAAGGATGTCAGGGACAAGATTGTAGACCTACACAAGGCTGGAATGGGCTACAAGACCATCGCCAAGCAGCTTGGTGAGAAGGTGACAACAGTTGGTGCGATTATTTGCAAATGGAAGAAACACAAAAGAACTGTCAATCTCCCTCGGCCTGGGGCTCCACGCAAGATCTCACCTCGTGGAGTTGCAATGATCATGAGAACGGTGAGGAATCAGCCCAGAACTACATGGGAGGATCTTGTCAATGATATCAAGGCAGCTGGGACCATAGTCACCAAGAAAACAATTGGTAACACACTACGCCGTGAAGGACTGAAATCCTGCAGCGCCCGCAAGGTCCCCCTGCTCAAGAAAGCACATATACAGGCCCGTCTGAAGTTTGCCAATGAACATCTGAATGATTCAGAGGAGAACTGGGTGAAAGTGTTGTGGTCAGATGATACCAAAATCGAGCTCTTTGGCATCAACTCAACTCGCCGTGTTTGGAGGAGGAGGAATGCTGCCTATGACCCCAAGAACACCATCCCCACCGTCAAACATGGAGGTGGAAACATTATGCTTTGGGGGTGTTTTTCTGCTAAGGGGACAGGACAACTTCACCGCAATAAAAGGGACGATGGACAGGGCCATGTACCGTCAAATCTTGGATGAGAACCTCCTTCCCTCAGCCAGGGCATTGAAAATGGGTCGTAGATGGGTATTCCAGCATGACAATGACCCAAAACACACGGCCAAGGCAACAAAGGAGTGGCTCAAGAAGGAGCACATTAAGGTCCTGGAGGGGCCTAGCCAGTCTCCAGACCTTAATCCCATAGAAAATCTGTGGAGGGAGCTGAAGGTTTGAGTTGCCAAACGTCAGCCTCGAAACCTTAATGACTTGGAGAAGATCTACAAAGAGGAGTGGGACAAAATCCCTCCTGAGATGTGCGCAAACCTGGTGGCCAACTACAAGAAACGTCTGACCTCTGTGATTGCCAACAAGGGTTTTGCCACCAAGTACTAAGTCATGTTTTGCAGAGGGGTCAAATACTTATTTCCCTCATTAAAATGCAAATCAATTTAAAACATTTTTGACATGCGTTTTTCTGGATTTATTTGTTGTTATTCTGTCTCTCACTGTTCAAATAAACCTACCATTAAAATTATAGACTGATCATGTCTTTGTCAGTGGGCAAACGTACAAAATCAGCAGGGGATCAAATAATTTTTTCCCCTCACTGTACATGCTGTAGCTAAAGAAAACACTTGCATCGGGCACCCACCCTACCTCCTTTCATCCCTCCCCTCCATCCATCCCTCCCCTTTTCCATTCCTCTCCGACCGTGCACGAGCAGTTACAAGCTCATGCACAGCTCTCAGACATACAATGCATCTAGAACTCACTAGCAGCAGTAGGTACGCTATTGATAGTGGAGTACTAGTCAAAAAAGCTTAACCACAGGAGCACACAGTACATTGATTAGCCTGGATAACTATCAGACAGACAGACAGAGAGACAGGGGGAGGCTGTACAGGGAAGGGGGTTGTGTGTGTACGTGTGTATGTCCCAGATATGGAATGTACTGTAGCCATGTCACATGATTATAATACAAAAACACACTAGGGCTGGACGATACAGGCAACATATCATATCATAATATTTTTCACTTTTTTACGGTATGACAGTTTTGGAATATTAAAATATCTTAATATGTTTTATGAGTGGTTCACGACCCTAGGGTGGCAACACAAATTATGTGATTTCAAATGGGGCTTTCTCCATTCTGTTTTATACTGTTAAATCCAACTTGAAACAAAAATCAATTTCAGCATTTCCTGTCCTTTTGTTATCATTTCCACACTGTGCCACGCAAGGCAGGATGACACAGGCAAAGAATCTTGGCCTAGTTAATTGGTGAACTGTTGGAGTCATGGAAATAGAATGATTATTCTAATTATATAGTTGGAATATAGTGGGCAGCACAATGAATACATAGTTGTTTGACATGACAACGAATTAATAAGCCAGGGAATAATTATTGACAGGGTAGGATCCAAGTGTTGGTCAGTGTTTCCAGGTGATCATAATTAGATGTTACATTACATGTTCTTACCTCACGTAGCTAGCTATTCATGCTTCGCCTATTCCTCTCTGATTTAGAATACACCGTTTCACAAACAACATGCGTATCTAGGCCTACACCAGCACTGGTACCAGGCTATATTACGTTTGCTCTGACTGAGTACATTTAGCCAGCTAGCTAGCGATTAGCATTAGCGGCTAACTTTCTAAGAAATTACAAACTAGCAGACAGTAAGATACACAAACTAATAGTGTACTTTTAGAACACTTGTGGAAAGTAGCATGTCACCAACATGTTGTTGTATTTATCTGACTCAGTGGTCGAGCAACTGCTCTTTCCTTGTGTGACAGGGGTCAGGGCTTGGTGTGGAAAGCAGCATGCAGCTACACAATAGGAGAAAGACGACTCAAGTAGAAAACGGAGTAAACTATAAAAACTGACATTACACGCCCCAGATTTGCATATCACATTTAACAAACCAAGCATTGAAATACTGTTATAGAAGATAAAGAAAAAATCCAAACCAGTCCGTGCATCAATACCGGTATATAGTAAAATACGGTATACCGCCCAGCCCTAACAAACACCACATGTTGAGAACCTCAAAAATACTAAAACACACACACAGAGTCAGTACAATGGCAGGACATGGACACATACACTCTTTCCCTCTCTCGCATGCACACGCGCACACACAGGCTCCATGCTCATACAGTCATTCAATACTCACTCTTTGCTGTCCTTGGAGGGGGAGTTGCAGGCATTGGATGTGGGGGCAGTGTTGGGGAGTGTATGTGTGTTGGTATGTGTGGTGGTGTTTGGAGCAGTCCCAGGGCTGAGTTTGTCCAGAGTGCAGGCGGTGCCGATGGCTCGGACCACCAGACCTGACTCTCCCTCCAGATCAAAGCACTGCAGGTACCCCACCACCGCATTACCACCCATCTCCAACACCTTCAGACCTATCTTCCTCTGCAGCTCACCTACACACACACACACACAGAGAGGGAGAGACGGTTTAATTTAATGGAGTGGCTGCAGTTCCGGATTTTCTGGAAACCCGATTTGCCGTGGCTTAAGGATACAGAGATTTCTGTTCATGTGCGGGATTTGTTTTTACATAGCTGCTGCCCACTCCGCTGCAACTGTAGCTGCTGCTCACTGCTCCGCTGCTGCTTCCCTATCCTATATCGGCGATGAACGCCTTTGTCTGGTGTCGTCTACAAATGTAAAAATTCCATGCCTCAGTAGGCTATTAAGCATAAGCGCGATTCCATGTTCCTTTTTCAGGAGGGGAGTTAGGCTACATAGAGCTATTTACATGTTGTACACGAAAGATATGAACATGTTTCGTACAAACTTGCAGAGTTTTTTGTTTCATCGCAAAACTCAAGTGGGGTACATGCAGCTATCTAGGCTGCATATCAAACACAACGTTTTTTAATCATGATTGCAAACATTGGCTAAGCAGGATGCAGACAAAGTAGTAGTGTTCTTTTTCAGCAAGTCTGGCTAATGGCTACAATACGGCAGCAACTACAAACATTAGCCTACATCATCACACAAAACGCAGATTGTTTTTGCTCCAATGCAATGTGTAGGGACTGTGTCCTGCCTGTGCAACTGCAATATCCGTTACAACAGTCTGAAGGTTGTAGCCTTCATAACAATGGCAGGCTCCCGAGTGGCGCCGCGGTCTAAGGCACTGCATCTCAGTGGTTGAGGCGTCACTACAGACCCCCTGGTTCGATTCCAGGCTGTATCACAACCGGCCGTGATTGGGAGTCCCATAGGGCGGCACACAATTGGCCCAGCGTCGTCCGGGTTTGGCCGGTGTAAGCCGTCATTGTAAATAAGAATTTGTTCTTAACTGACTTGCCTAGTTAAATAAAGGTAAAATAAATAAATATAATTATGGCCTTGAATGTTCATTCAAATCGCCTCTGGGTGTTTATTTCAGCTGTTCAGAAATATGAGGCAGAGACATCAGCTACATCATCATGTTTCAGAAGAGGGTGAGTAAAGAGAGAAACGTTAAGGGAGGTGGAGTGTGAGCAGAAGCTATGTAGAAAAAATGTGTGTAAAACACCACACGCACAGAAGGTGATCTGGAGCCGTAGCTTTGAGAAAGAGGTTTCCAGAGGGGCAGGGCGGGGGAGAAAACTCAGTGTTCGCAGCCATGGCCTTAATTTAACCAGGGGTCAAAGGCCAGTGATGTTTTTACTTTAGTGTCTGATTTAGACCTGGAAAGACTAAGTTATATTTCAACCAAGTTATGTGTGGACTTCCTAGCTAATCATTACCAGGGAAAAACTAAAACCCACAGACACTACTGTCCTCAAGGACTGGAGTTTGACACGTGGTTTACCTTCAGATTATCCTACAGTATGTGTATGTTTAGATAACCCTGGGTGTTGATGTATATACCAGACATAAGGGAGATGAGTCTCTGGCAGGCCTTGTTAGAAGCCCTGAGGGTTCTGATGTTATATACTGTAATACTATAGAATAGTTATATAGTGTAATATATACAGTAGTCATTGAGTGCTAAGAATAGGTTTAAAGTATTAATGTCACGTGCACAAGTACAGTGAAATGCCTTTCTTGCAAGCTCTAAACCTAATATGCAGTAACCAATATCAATTTAGTACTAAAAATAACAAGGTAGAACGAAAACACACAATAAATAAAAATAAGAACACGAAAAGTAAGTAAGGTATATATAGGGTCAGTTCCAATAACATATTTACAATGTGCAGGGGATACTGTAGTGATAAGAGGTAGATATGTATAGGGGTAAGGTGACTAAGCATCAGGACATTTGATAAACAGAGTAGCAGCAGCGTATATGATGATTGTACGTGAGTGTGTGTGTGTGTTTGTAGAGTCAGTATAAATGTATGCATGTTTGTGAGCATATGGAGTGTGTGTTTGTGCGCGCGTGAGTGTGTAGAGTCCTGTGAGTGTGCATAGAGACACTAACACACAAGGGTCAACTCCAATAATCTGTGTAGCCAGTCTTATGGCTTGGGGATAGAAGCTGTTCAAGAGCCTGTTGGGTTTCAGACTTGATCCACCGGTACCGCTTGCCTTGCGGAAGCAGAGTAACAGTCTATGACTTGGGTGGTGGAGTCTGTTGCGATTTTCCAGGCCTTCCTTTCACACCGCTTGATATAGAGGTCCTGGAAGGCAGGGAACTCGGCCCCAGTGATGTACAGGGCTGTCCGCAACACCCTCTGTAGAGCCATGAGATCGAGGGTGGTGCTGTTGCTACAACAAGTAGTGATCCAGCCAGTAAAGATGCTCTCAAACGGTGCAGCAGTATAACTTTGAGGATATGAGGGCCCATTCCAAACCTTTTCAACCTCCTGAGGGGGAAGAGGCGCTGTCGCCCCTTCCTCACGACTGTGCCAGTGTGTGTGGACCATTTTAAGTCCTTAGTGATTTGGACACCGAGGAACTTGAAGCTCTTGACCCGCTCCACTGCAGCCCCGTCAATATGGATGGGGCGTGCTCGTTCACCCCCCCCGTTTCCTGTAGTCCACGTTCAGCTCCTTGCACTTACTGACGTTGAGGGAGAGGTTGTTGTCCCGGCACCACACTGCCAGGTCACTGACCTCCTCCCTGTAGGCCTTCTCATTGTTGCCGGTGATCAGGCCTACCCCCGTCGTGTCGTCAGCAAACTTGATGACTGTGTTGGGAGTCATGCGTGGCTACGCAGCCGTGGGAGTACAGGAGGGGACTAAGCACACACCCTTGTGGGGCCCCCGTGTTGAGGGTCAGCGTAGCGGAGGTGATGTTGCCTACTCTCACCACCTGGAGTCGGCCCGTCAGAAAGTCCAGGATCCAATTGCAGAGGGAGGTGTTCAGTCCTAGGGTCCTAAGCTTGATGATGGAGTTGATGTGTGCCATAACCAGCCTTCGACTTCTTGGGAACAGATGTGAGTGCTACAGAGCGGTAGCTGTTATGGCATAAAGCCTTCGACTTCTTGGGAACAGGAATGATGGTGGTCAGTTTAAGACATGTAGGGATTACAGACTGGGACAAGGAGACTTGAAAATGACTGTGAATATGCCTGCCAGCTGTTCTGCGCATGCTCTGAGAACGCTCTGTAATACCGTCTGGCCCCACGGCCTTGCGAGTGTTGACCTGATTAAATAACTTACTCACGTCGGCCTCGGAGAGCGAGATCAACAAGATGGCGCCGACAGACATGGTCGCCCTGTTTATAGCGCCTAGCCAACTTCGAATAAATGTTTTTTTGCTCAGAACTTTTCTTGCATTATTACCTACAGCCGAATATAACTTTTGGATATTAGATCAACGGTCACTCACCAGCATTTTGACTAGAAATGAGACTTTCCTGAATTGGATCCTTTTCTTTTACTCCCCAAGGCAATTCCATTAATCCCAGGGGCTGCCCCAAGACACCGTCGTTGGAGAAGAGGAATAAGGATTGGGCTTTTCGTCCGACTCAGGAGGCGTGCATATTATCCACCGATTCGGAGTATATTACTCGCTAATGTTCAGTCCCTGGACAATAAAGTAGACGAGCTCAGGGAGAGGATATCCTTCCAGAGACATCAGGGACTAACATACTAGACTTGGGCAATATCCGTTTATACAGTGTACAGGGGTATTTCGAAATCCCGATGGTATGAAGGGTTGGGGGAGCTGCGAGGGTGCGTGCTACGCCACTGCTTATAACTAAGCAATAAGTTAAGTATAACTATAAGAAATCTAAAACGTGTCAAATAAATTTTATCTAGCTCAGGGCTCCATGCATTTGATTTGCTAACTTGATAGCTAAGTGGCTAGATGTCAAGATCATGCTTCTTGGTTACAGCAGATACATTCAATCCCCTCCTGGATCAAGATCCCTGTTAACTAAATTGTTTTGTGCGTTAACAAAATTATAGCGCCCCTTGTGTGCACATTCGGTAATACCGTATACCATGCTACAGTACAGAAAGGAAATGGTAGTATGAAAATCAGGATATCGCTCAACCCTATAAATAACTCTTCCACGGAATCATGGCTCTCTCCGGATATGCTGTCCCTGTCCATTCAGCCAGCGGGGTTCTCCATCCATCACACAGACAGAAAGGTGGAGGTGTATGTTTCATGATTAACTACTCATGGTGTGACTGTAGTACCGTACAGGAACTCAAGTCCTTTTGTTCTCCAGATCTGGAATACCCCACCATCAAATGCCAACCGCGTCACCTCCCGAGATAATTATCTTCGGTCATCGTCACGGCCGTGTATACTCCCCCCCCCCCAAGCTGACCCCACGACGGCTCAAGGAACTACACTGGACTATGTGCAAACTGGAAACCGCATATCCTGAGGCCATATTTATTATAGCTGGGAACTTAAAGGAAATCTGCGGAAAACGCTACGGAAATTTTATCAACAGATCTCCTGTGCTACTCGCTCATCTAGCACTCTTGACCAATGCTACTACCCCTTCCGGGTCAGCTACAAGGCCGTACCCCGCCTTCACTTCAGCAAATCAAACCAAACTTTGTCACATTCGCCGAATACAACAGGTGTAGACCTTACCGTGAAATGCATTCTTACAAGCCCTTAACCAACAATGCAGTTCAAGAAATAGAGTTCATAAAATATTTACCAAATAAACAAAAGTAAAAAATTATAAAAAGTAACGAGGCTATATACAGGGGGTACCGGTACCGAGTCAATGTGCAGGGGTACCGGTTAGTCGAGGCAATTGTAGGTAGGGGTAAAGTGACTATACATAGATAATAGACAGCGGGTAGAAGCAGTGTAAAATTAAATTGGGGGGGGGGGGGGGGGGGGGGGGGGGGGTTGTCAATGTAAATAGTCAAGGAAGCCATTTGATTAATTCTTCAGCATTCTTATGGCTTGGGGATAGAAGCTGTTAAAGAGCCTTTTGGTCCTAAACTTGGCGCTCTGGTACCGCTTGCCGTGCAGAGAACAGTCTATGACTTGGGTGACTGGAGTCTGACAATTTTCTGGCCTTTCCTCTGACACCGCCTAGTATATAGGTCCTGGATGGCAGGAAGCTTGGCCCCAGTGATGTACTGGGCCGTACGCACTACCCTCTGTAGCGCCTTACGGTCAGATGACGAGCAGTTGCCATACCAGGCGGCGATGCAACCGGTCAGGATGCTCTCGATGGTGCAGCTGTAGAACTTCTTGAGGATCTGGGGACCCATGCCAAATCTTTTCAGTCTCCTGAGGGGGAATAGGCTTTGTCGTGCCCTCTACACGACTGTCTTGGTGTGTTTGGACCATAATAGTTCGTTGTTGATGTGCACACCAAGGAACTACAGCCCCGTCGATGTGAAAGGGGTCGTGTTCTGCTCTCCTTTTCCTGTAGTACACGATCAGCTCCTTTGTCTTGCTCACATTGAGGGAGAGGTTGTTGTCCTAGCACCACACTGCCAGGTCTCTGACCTCCCTATCGGCAGTCTCATCGATGTCGGTGATCAGGCCTACCACTGTTATGTCGTCAGCAAACTTAATGATGGTGTTGGAGTCGTGCTTGGCCACACAGTCGTAGGTGAACAGGGAGTACAGGGGGGACTAAGCACGCACCCCTGAGGGGCCCCAGTGTTGAGGATCAGTGTGGCAGACGTGTTGTTGCCTACCCTTACCACCTGGGGGCGGCTCGTCAGGAAGTCCAGGATCCAGTTGCAGAGGGAGGTGTTTAGTCCCAGGGTCCTTAGTTTAGTGATGAGCTTTGTGGGCACTATGATGTTGAACGCTGAGCTGTAGTCAATGCCTCCATTCTGCTCCTCCCCTCCTATAGGCAGAAATTTAAACAGGAAGTACCCGTGGTAAGGACTGTTCAATGTTGGTCTGACCGTTCAGAATATATACTTCAAGATTGTTTTGATCAAGTGGACTGGGATATGTTCCTTGTTGCCTTAGAATAGTATTGACGTATACACTGACTCGGTGCCTTAGTTCATCAGGAAGTACATAGAGGATGTTGTTCCCACTGTGACGATTTGAACTTATCCAAAACAAGTGGATAGATGGTAGCATTTGCGCAAAACTTAAAAGTGCGAACCACCGCATTTAACCAAGGTGACTGAGAACATGGAAGACTACAAACAGTTCAGATATGCCCTCCGTAAGGCAATCAAGCAGGTGAAAACGACAGTACAGGGACAGAGTGGAGTTGCAATTCAACGGCTCAGACAAGAGACGTACAGTGCATTTGGAAAGTATTCAGACCCCTTGATTGTGTAAATTCTACTGATTGGACATCGATTTGAAAAGGCACACACCTGTCTATATAAGGTCCCACAGTTGACAGTGCTTGTCAGAGCAAAAACCAAGGCATGAGGTCGAAGGAATTGTCCGTAGAGCTCCGAGACAGGATTGTGTCAAGGCACAGATGTGGGGAAGGATACCAAAAAATATCTGCAGCATTGAAGGTCCAGAAGAACACAGTGGCCTCCATCATTCTTAAATGGAAGAAGTTTGGAACCACCAAGACTCTTCCTAGAGCTGGCCGCCCGGCCAAACTGAGCAATCGGGGGAGAAGGGCCTTGGTCTGGGAGGTGACCAAGAACCCGATGGTCACTCTGACAGAGCTCCAGAGTTCCTCTGTGGAGATGGAAGAACCTTCCAGAAGGACAACCATCTCTGCAGCACTCCACCAATCAGGCCTTTATGGTAGAGTGGCCAGACGGAAGCCACTCCTCAGTAAAAAGGCACATGACAGCCCACTTGGGGTTTGCCAAAAGGCACCTAAAGGACTCCCAGACCATGAGAAACAAGATTTTCTGGTCTGATGAAACCAAGATTGAACTATTTGGCCTGAATGCCAAGCGTTACGTCTGGAGGAAATCTGGCACCATCCCTACGGTGAAGCATGATGGTGGCAGCATCATGCAGATGTTTTTCCATCGGCAGGGACTGGGAGACTAGTCAAAATGTGGAAAAGGTGAAGGGGTCTGAATACTTTCCGAGTGCCTTCAGAAAGTATTCACACCCCTTGACTCTTTCCACAGTTTGTTGTGTTAGAGCCTGAATGTAAACATGTTGTTGATTTGTTGTCTCTGGCCTACAAAATACACTATAATGTCAAAGTGGAATTATGTTATCAGACATTTTTACAAATGCAATAATGTTTAACATGATTTTTTAATGACTACCTCATCTCTATACACCACACATAACATTTTCTGTAAGGTCCCTCAGTCGAGCAGTGTATTTCAAACACAGATTCAACCACAAAGACCAGGGAGGTTTTCCAATGCCTCGCAAAGAAGGGCACCTATTGGTAGATGGGTATAAATAAGAAAAGCAGACATTGAATATCCCTTTGAGCATGGGGAAGTCATTACAAAGATACAGGCATTCTTGTAGTCCCCTGTAGCTCAGTTGTTAGAGCATGGCGCTTGCAACGCCAGGGTTGTGGGTTCGTTTACCATGGGGGGCCAGTATGAAAATGTATGCACTCACTAACTGTAAGTCGCTCTGGATAAAAGCGTGTGCTAAATGACTAAAATGTAAATTCTTCCTAACTCAGTTGCCGGAGAGGAGGGAAACAGCTCAGGGATTTCACCATGAGGCCAATGGTGACTTTAATAAAACAGTTTCAGAGTTTAATGGCTGTGATAGGACAAAACTGAGGATGGATCAACAACATTGTAGTTACTCCACAATACTAACCTAATTGACATAGTGAAAAGAAGGAAGCCTGTACAGAATAAAACATATTCCAAAACATGCATCCTGTTTGCAACAAGACACTAAAGTAATACTGCAAAAACTGTGGCAAAGCAATTAACTTTTTGTCATGTTTGGGGCAAATCCAATCCAATACATTACTGAGTACCACTCTCCATATTTTCAAGTATAGGGATGGCTGCATCATGTTGTGGGTATGCTTCAAATCGTTAAGGACTGGGGAGTTTTTCAGGATTAAACAGAAACGTAATGGAGCTAAGCACAGGCAAAATCCTTGAGGAAAACCTGGTTCAGTCTGCTTTCCACCAGACACTGGGAGATGAATTCACCTTTCAGCAGAACAATAACATAAAACACAAGGCCAAATCTACACTGGAGTTGCTTACCAAGAAGACAGTGAATGTTCCTGAGTGGCCGAGTTACAGTTTTAACTTAAATCTACGGCAAGACCTGAAAATGCTTGTCTAGCAATGATCAACAACCAATTTGACAGAACTTGAAGAATTTTGAAAATAATAAATGGGCTAATGTTGCACAATCCAGGTGTGGAAAGCTTTTAAGAGACTTACCCAGAAAGACTCACAGCTGTAATCGCTGCCAAAGGTGCTTCTACAAAGTATTGACTCAGGGGTGTGAATACTTATGTAAATTAGATATTTCTGTATTTAAGTTTAACTAGCAACATTTTCTAAAATCATGTTTTCACTTGGTCATTGTGGGGTATTACGTGTAGATGGGTGAGAACATATATCAATTTAATCCATTTTGAATTCTGGCTGTAACACAACAAAATGTGGAATAAGTCAAGGGGTATGAATACTTTCTGAAGGCACGAAAATACCCTCAAATAAAAAGACATTCCTGTACTGTCACCTCAGAAAACATTTGATCTCAAATCCAAAACGCTGGAGTAGAGAGACAAATTAAACGTTTTAGCTTCACTGTCCAAAACGTAGGGGAGTGTATATAGAGAGAGTTAGATAGCGGGGTTATGTACCAGACATGAGAGAGATGAGTCTCTGGCGGGCCTCGTTAGAAGCTCTGGGGGTTCTGATGCGGTCAATCCACTGGTACTCTGGGTCCTCGTTCACCACCAGCTCCTCAACAAAGCCATGGACCAGCGCCACGCGGTAACACCTCGGGATGGACGTTGCTAACACACAGCGATGCGCATAAACACATATCAAACACATATTCATCATCATCATTAGTCATTTCTTGTGACTAGACGTCATCTCTACTATATTACAGCCCCATAGCGAACCAGACTCACTACAAAAGAACTTGACACCACAGGAGGACTGTCTGAAGCGGTTCAGGTCATTGAAGAGGTCCACCTTCACCAGAACATAAATCTCCCCTCTGATACCTGCAGGAGAGGAGAGGACATCAACAGAAACATTACTACCAGATAGAAACAGCACCTAACCCTAGAAACCCCAACTCTTCACTAACACGTTACTCTCTCATCTGACACTAGGAAGACAGAACCTACATCATTACGACCCAACGGACACAGTTAAAGAACAGCTTTAAGTAAAGCAGTTTTTTTTACAGCAAAGACCAACAGCATACATTTATAGGCTGTTACACAGAGAACACTGTATCTGTGTCTGAAAAGTCCCACTGTGGCCATGCACCTTTTGATGGGGAAGTATATGACTGACGTCACTAGTGTCAGATGGGGAACTACAGTGAGGGAAAAAATTTTTTGATCCCTTGCTGATTTTGTACGTTTGCCCACTGACAAAGACATGATCAGTCTATAATTTTAATGGTAGGTTTATTTGAACAGTGAGAGACAGAATAACAACAAAAAAATCCAGAAAAACGCATGTCAAAAATTTTATGAATTGATTTGCATTTTAATGAGGAAAATAAGTATTTGACCCCTCTGCAAAACATGACCTAGTACTTGGTGGCAAAAACCTTGTTGGCAATCACAGAGGTCAGACGTTTCTTGTAGTTGGCCACCAGGTTTGCACACATCTCAGGAGGGATTTTGTCCCACTCCTCTTTGCAGATCTTCTCCAAGTCATTAAGGTTTCGAGGCTGACATTTGGCAACTCGAACCTTCAGCTCCCTCCACAGATTTTCTATGGGATTAAGATCTGGAGACTGGCTAGGCCACTCCAGGACCTTAATGTGCTTCTTCTTGAGCCACTCCTTTGTTGCCTTGGCCGTGTGTTTGGGGTCATTGTCAAGCTGGAATACCCATCCACGACCCATTTTCAATGCCCTGGCTGAGGGAAGGAGGTTCTCACCCAAGATTTGACGGTACATGGCTCCGTCCATCGTCCCTTTGATACGGTGAAGTTGTCCTGCCCCTTAGCAGAAAAACACCCCCAAAGCATAATGTTTCCACCTCCATGTTTGACGGTGGGGATGGTGTTCTTGGGGTCATAGGCAGCATTCCTCCTCCTCCAAACACGGCGAGTTGAGTTGATGCCAAAGAGCTCGATTTTGGTCTCATCTGACCACAACACTTTCACCCAGTTCTCCTCTGAATCATTCAGATGTTCATTGGCAAACTTCAGACGGACCTGTATATGTGCTTTCTTGAGCAGGGGGACCTTGCGGGCGCTGCAGGATTTCAGTCCTTCACGGCGTAGTGTGTTACCAATTGTTTTCTTGGTGACTATGGTCCCAGCTACCTTGAGATCATTGACAAGATCCTCCCGTGTAGTTCTGGGCTGATTCCTCACCGTTCTCATGATCATTGCAACTCCACGAGGTGAGATCTTGCATGGAGCCCCAGGCCGAGGGAGATTGACTGTTCTTTTGTGTTTCTTCCATTTGCGAATAATCGCACCAACTGTTGTCACCTTCTCACCAAGCTGCTTGGTGATGGTCTTGTAGCCCATTCCAGCCTTGTGTAGGTCTACAATCTTGTCCCTGACATCCTTGGAGAGCTATTTGGTCTTGGCCATTGTGTAGAGTTTGGAATCTGATTGATTGATTGCTTCTGTGGACAGGTGTCTTTTATACAGGTAACAAACTGAGATTAGGAGCACTCCCTTTAAGAGTGTGCTCCTAATCTCAGCTCGTTACCTGTATAAAAGACACCTGGGAGCCAGAAATCTTTCTGATTGAGAGGGGGTCAAATACTTATTTCCCTCATTAAAATGCAAATCAATTTATAACATTTTTGACATGCGTTTTTCTGATTTTTTTTGTTGTGGTCCTCTGTAGCTCAGCTGGTAGAGCACGGCGCTTGTAACGCCAAGGTAGTGGGTTCGATCCCCGGGACCACCCATACACAAAAATGTATGCACGCATGACTGTAAGTCGCTTTGGATAAAAGCGTCTGCTAAATGGCATATTATTATTATTATTATTATTATTTGTTATTCTGTCTCTCACTGTTCAAATAAACCTACCATTAAAATTATAGACTGATAATTTCTTTGTCAGTGGGCAAACATACAAAATCAACAGGGGATCAAATACTTTTTTCCCTCACTGTATATAACAGACTCAATGTATAGTGTGGTAGACGGGGAATTATACAAGGTCGTTCCATTTGATTGCGATCACTTTTTGACCACACCCCTTTTGATTTGAATGAAACTTTCCATACAAGCTTTATTTTTTATATAAGCTTTTAAATTATATCAAACTCATCCGTAAAAATGTTCCAGTGATTAAGAAATGGATGTCTCATGGTATGGTGGGGTATGCAAAACGGGTCAACTTTGAGTACCTCCATCTCCTGAATGTTTTGCCAATCAGGTCCAAAATGTCACTTTCTGACCACTTCTACCATGGGCAAATAAGTATGGAAAGTTTCGTTCAAATCAAAAGAGGTGGGTCAAAAAGTGATTGAAATCAAATAGAATGACCCTATAACAAACACACCGTGTATAGTGTCGTAGATGGGGAACCATCCAGAGATGACAGTAGCAGCCTCGCAGGACAGCAGAGGGTCGATGTCAATGTAGACCTTCCCTATTGCATCGTTGGCACTGTAAGTGTCATGGTCCAACACTGTGATTTGTAATGGCTCATCCTGCAAGTCCTCATCATCCACCTAGTAGGAGGGTGACAAAGTTGAGGAAACAAGGATACATACTATCATGTTGACTGTAGCGTATTTACACTGTAATCCAATGCCATTCACAAACACGAATTATTAAAACATCTAATTGGGCACAGGAAACGAGGGGAAACGTCAACAATAAGACAGCGATTGGAGGAAGGCTCCAGGAAGATGGAAATGATCACAACAGCACAGTCAGTCAGCTCCTGTAGCGCGCTAGTACTAAGCCAAGGTTGAACAATTCTGGTAGCCTACTTCACGGAGATCTAATTTCACAGAGAAATAAGTCAAGAAGTAGTTTCCATACATTTTACCTCAAATTTGAACCACTCCGAGTTCCACTGTGGGTTAAGGGACTTGGGGAAGACGTCTGTTTTGAAAGTTGTGTTGCCAAACTTGACCTGTAAGAACATCAATGAAGAACACCACAAGGCTAGGACTGCAGCACTGTAACACAGTATATACACGTGTTGAAATGGTTGTAGGATTACGTTGCTCACCTCTACGAAGGCATCAGTGAGGTCGCTGGCTCTGTCCATGACTGGTAAGTGGCGCCCTGCCACGATCTTAGCTTTCAACTTCCCCGGCATGATTCAGCTTTGTCTTAACCTGCAGATGCAAGAATTAAAAGGTAAATCACTTCATTATTACAATGCCTACATAAGAAGATGTCAGCGTTCTTTAAAAATCCTTAATACTGAAGTGTCTGTTCCAGGTGCGTAGGAGTCAAAATAAGAAAACTGGAAGAGATGGAGACCCGCACACTGTCGAAAAAAGAAATAAATCCAAAACTGAGGCTTGAATGCAAAATAAATAAGTTTATTAAAACATCATAGTGCAAGAAAGTGCATAAATGAAAAGGTTTGTTTCATGGGCACCATGATGTTTTAATAAACATCTTAATTTTGCATTCAAGCCTCAGTTTTGGATGTATTCCTTTTTTCGGCAGTGTGCGGGTCTCCATCTCTTCCATTATTACAATGCCAACACGTGTACTGTTTACCTGTATTCATCAGACCATGATAAAATATGAAAAATTAATGAGCTAACAAACCTAAGGTCACACTGCAGTTATGCTACTAAGAAGAATGATGATAGTCCTGTTTGGCCCAGACATGGGCACGTGGTCAGGTGACATATGTTGCTGACAGTTAAAGAGTAGGAAGCAGGAGTTTTTACTCAAAGTAACAAAAGTGTGGTCAAGGACTTAGTAACTTAGTTGTAGTCCCAATCTGGTTACCTATAACTACAAACAGTTATGTATTTTCATATTTATTTACTTATTTCCAGATATCTTCTACACTTGCCAAAATTGCACTATTTCTCAACATCATATGGAGAATATACTTTGCATTAGCTAGCTTGAGCGTTGGCAGTGGTGAGCTACAATCCACCAATCACCGAGGAGGTGTGCCGTAAACAACCAATCAGATTCCCCCACGTGGGGGCCGCATGATGAAGTAGGCTACCAGAATTGTTCAACCTTGGCTTAGTACTAGCGCGCTACAGTAGCTGACTGACTGTGCTGTTGTGATCATTTCCATCTTCCTGGAGCCTTCCTCCAATCGCTGTCTTATTGTTGACGTTTCCCCTCGTTTCCTGTGCCCAATGCCACCTCTGGATTATTGCCTCTGGAATGTATCTACTTTGGATTTACCGCACTATATTCCTATTGGATTAGCTGACTCTCCCTCGGCCGGTGAAATGGTGAAGCGCATCCTTCCTTCGCTCTCTCTACTTTATATGTGCTGGCTTTTTTTGTTGTTGTGTTCTGTGAGTTCCTGCCTGTGCTAGACTAGATGGTGTTGTTCTCCATCTTACCACTTCACTATGTCGATGTGGGGGTTGGCTAGCTAGGCTAGCTAGCAGGCTCAAATAACTAACTTTAGCTGGCTGGCTTGCTGGCTAAGATAACTGTATATACCGGTAACATTATTTGATAACTGGTTAGATGGCATTATGTATTTCCAAAACGTTGGTTTACTTTAATGTAGCTGTAAGCTAGGTGTTGATAGCAACTGGCTGATTCATGCAGTGCTAACATAAGAGTATCAGGATGGTAGGGCTAACGTTAGCAGGCTAGTAGGGCTAATGTTAGCAGGCTAGCAACCTTGCAAGCTGATTTGTAACAAACTCATAATGTACTGTATATGCTTGTAAGTTGGCTGAAAATGTAAGTGAAACCAGTAGTGCAAACAATTTGGTTTAATTTTAATTTATACATTTAAAGTTATTTCTGTTGGGAGTTTACATTATAGGGAGTAGGCTGGCTTGCCGGGTCCTCCATATTACATCACATCGCACAAAACATTTTCAAGCATGACTTCGGCATTCTTCGGTTTGATGTAATAACTCGAAAAGTGAGGTGTAACTTAGCATTGGGACTTTTGACGCATATACTAATGCAAATCTACACTACCGGTCAAAAGTTTTAGAACACCTACTCATTCAAGGGTTTTTCTTTATTTTTACTATTTTCTACATTGTAGAATAATAGTGAGAACATCAAAACTATGAAATAACACATGGAATCATGTAGTAACCAAAAAAAGTGTTAAACAAATCAAAATATATTTTATAATTTGAGATTCTTCAAATAGCCACCCTTTGCCTTGATGACAGCTTTGCACACTCTTGGCATTCTCTCAACCAGCTTCATGAGGTAGTCACCTGGAATGCATTTCAATTAACAGGTGTGCCTTCTTAAAAGTTAATTAGTGGAATTTCCTTCAGCTTCGAACTAAGAATGTAACTGTTGACATATTGATCTACAAGTCATTTTGCATGCCGAACAACCCCCAGGCAATATCAATAGCCTAGTCAAACTGGGTACGGTGCCCTGCTTCACGCACGCACAGTGCCCAGCTTCGTGTGCTGACCAACGCAAGGTAGGTGACCTGTTTCTGATATTGCACATCTATGCAGCACCTTCAGCATTCAAATGCTAAAACAGCTTACGTGATATTAGGCTTTATTTATACTGAACAAAAATATAAAACGCAACATGTAAAGTGTTGGTCTTATGTTTCATAAGCTGAAATGAAAGATCCCAGAAATTGTCCATACACAAAAAAAGCTTATTTCTCTCAAATTGTGCACAAATTTGTTTACATACCTGTTAGTGAGCATTTATCCTTTGCCAAGATAATCCATCCACCTGACAGGTGTGGCATATCAAGAGGCTGATTAAACAGCATGATCATTAGACAGGTGCACCTTGTGCTGGGGGACAATAAAAAGCCACTCTAAAATGTGCAGTTTTGTCACAACACATTTCCCTCAAGTTGAGGGAGCATGCATTTGGCATGCTGACTGCAGGAATGTCCACCAGATCTGTTGCCAGATAAATTAATGTTAAATTCTCTACCATAAGCCACCTCCAATGTCATTTTAGAGAATTTGGCCTCACAACCGCAGACCACGAGTAACCACACCAGCCCAGGACCTCCACATCCAGCTTATTCACCTGTGGGATCGTCTGAGACCAGCCACCCTGACAGCTGATTAACAACAGAAGAATTTATGCACAAACTGTCAGAAACAGTTTCAGGGAAGCTCATCTGCGTGCGTCGTCCTCACCAGGGTCTTGAACTGACTGCAGTTCAGCGTCGTAACCGACTTCAGTGGGCAAATGCTCACTTTCGATAGCCACTGGCACGCTTGAGAAGTGTGCTCTTCACGGATGAATCACAGTTTCAACTGTACCGAGCAGATGGCATTGTGTGGGTGAGTGGTTTGCTGATGTCAATGATGTGAACAGAGTGCCCCATGGTGGTAGTGGGGTTATGGTATGGGTAGGCATAAGCTATGGACATTAACACAATTGCATTTTATTGATGGCAATTTCAATGCACAGAGATACCGTGACGAGATCTGAGGCCTATTATTGTGCCATTCATCTGCCGCCATCATCTCATGTTTCAGCATGATAATGCATGGCCCCATGTCGCAAGGATCTGTACAAAATTCCTGGAAGCTGAAAATGTCCAAGTTCTTCCAAGGCCTGCATACTCACCAGACATGTCACCCATTGAGCATGTTTGGAATGCTCTGGATCGACGTGAACGACAGCGTGTTCCAGTTCCCGCCAATACCTAGGAACTTCGTACAGCCATTGAAGAGCGGTGGGACATTCCACAATCAACAGCCTGATCAACTCCATGCGAAGGAGATGTGTCGCGCTGCATGAGGCAAATGGTGATCTCACCAGATACTGACTGGTTCTGATCCACGCCCCTACTTTATTTTTAAAGATATTTGTGACCAACAGATGCATATCTGTATTCCCAGTCGTGAAATCCATAGATTAGGGCCTAGTGAATTTCCTTATATGAACTGTAACTCCGTAAAAACGTTGAAATTGTTGTTATCCATGCGCTGTTGAAAATAGTACAATATTTACAAGTATATTGGGCAGGGCTGACCCCATTTAGTCGACTGGTCGATTGTTGGGTCGATAGGCTGTTGGTCGACCGATAATTTTTACGTCGAGCAGTGGCCAAAAAAAATAACAAATAAAAATGTCACGTCTTGATTGACGCCTGTCTCAGTGAACTAATCATTTGCGGACGTCGCGGGGATGGCACACCAGTAGTAAATTTCCCGTTAATTCCCATCATTTCTCATCTACAATGTTAGTTTGGTTACTGTAATTTCTGTTAATGCATTCAATATATTGTTATTACAGTCTTTTACAGAGTGGACACGTTGTTTGCAGAGCGCACATCCTAGGCTACACTTGTGAGAAACAAGTTTTGGTTTATTTCATTCCATTTACGAGTTGTCAATTTATTCATTGTGTTTTGTTTGGAGCGCTCCTGTCAATGTTGAGTAAGAACGCGCACCTGATTACGCATAGAAGTATGCCTAGGCTACCTGGCCTGCACACAAATGTAGGCTTATAAATGTGCCCATTTGGGGATCTGATAGTATTTCTGATTGTTTTAACTCGCAACCACTAATGAGCTATGGAGCTTCTCAGAGTAATGTTTTCACCTCAAACAGCAAGTAAACAAAGTCTGTTTTTGCATCCATTGAGAATGAATTGTTGCGCCCTCTTGACATGAGTGGTGGTGTTGTTGGTCCATGACAAGTCCTCATGATGTAGACGTAGAGGAACTTAAGACTTGTGACTCTACTACAGTCCCATTGATGTGGATCAGGGCATGTTCCCTCCTCTGCCTCCTGAAGTCAACAATCTCCTTGTTTTACTGACATTGAGGTTGAGGTTGTTATGACACCACAATGTCAGTTAACTTACCTCCTCCATATAGGCTGACTCGTCATTGTTGGTTATCAGGCCTACAACAGTGGTGTTGTCAGCAAACTTGATGATCGAGTTGGTGTCATGCAAGTGTGGAGGAGGGGTTGTTGCCAATCCTCTCAGCCTGTGATCTGCCCGTCAGGAAGTACAGGATCCAGTTGCAGAGGGTGGTGTCGAGCTTGGGGGGAACAATTGTTTTGAATGCTGAACTGTAGTCAATGTACAGCATTCTCACATACAGTGAGGGAAAAAAGTATTTCATCCCCTGCTGATTTTGTACGTTTGCCCACTGACAAAGACATGATCAGTCTATAATTTTAATGGTAG